TGTGACATTTTTTAATTATTGCAAATATAAAACTTATATGAAAAATTATGAACACTAAATTTGATTATCTAATTATTCGAAAGTATATTCTTATGTGAAATAATGAGTGGAAAAATGTTTGCATTTGTGTGTTCCGTGCTTCTCGTCGTCATTTCGTTATCGAAATCGCAGCAAAATTCTACCAACAGAGATGAGAATTTGACGATACGATACGAGATAAATGCGGATTCTACAACAAATTATAACGACGAAATAATAACACTGCGACATGATTTGCATAAAAATTTGACGAATAATACACAAAATGACAAAATGCAGCATAAATTTTATATGAATAACAATCGCGAGGATAATGATTTAATTCAACATAAACTGAACAAGCATTCAATGCAGAATAAAGATGATGAGCAAAAATCGATGAAATCTAACACGAATTCGACAAATGTCAATCATAAAAGGAATTCCATGTCACAGAAAGTTCATGAAAATGTAACTGAAAAGATTGATTCTATGTCACTTGAAGTTTTCAAAAATTCCAGCAAAGATACTAATGAAACTATCATCGTCCCAAACGAAATGTGTCATAATGATACTTGTATTCGGCTCTGCTGTTTTCTTGGCAATCGTTTGGTTGATGAAAACTGCATTCCTGAAGAAATTGAATACATTTTTCCAAAAGTATACACGAACGATTCGACGCAGAGCGAAAAGAGAGTGAACGAATTGTTTGAGCTGTCCATTTATGATTCGTGCCAGGAAGATCAACTGCGTCCCAAAGATTCTCAGTACGATTATAAGATTTTTACCAACGGTTCTATATATTTAACTTATTATAAAATATTTGTTGAATCGACATCATATTGTCTCACTGCCGTCGACGGGAATGAGTTCCAAGTAACCATCTGTTCCAAAACTTATGACAAGATCAATGAGATAATTGATAAAGAACCCAGATTTTCTGGCGAAGAAATTATGGAAATAAGTGCCGATATAGTATCTATGTTATTTTTGGGGTCAATATTTCTGGTGTATTCCATATTGCCAGAACTCCGAAATAAACACGGCTTCATGTTGCGCAATTACAGCGTTGCTTCGTTTGTTGCATACGGAGTTGACATGGTGTATGTTTTGAGTGGTGTACAGTATCCCGTCTGTGTTATAATAGGTAGAGTATATATCTAAATCTTAAGACATACAATCAGTATAGCGCATGATGGAAGAATAAAGGTGAGTCAAGGCGCAACGTGATTTCATCGGTCAATAGAAAGTTGCCACCAGATCAGCCATTACTACCGGAAAACTAGCAGATATTTAAATTAATAAAAATGAATAATAGTATATTGTGTATCAAGTGCGGAAAGTTGACAATTGGTCACGAGTGCGGGGGATGGACGCACGAGCCGAAGGCGAGTACGACCACCCCACACGAGTGAACAATTGTCAATCCGCACGTGATACACATACTATTTTGTATTACAAGTGCAGGCAAAGTGGTTTTGTGCGCGTTTTCTGTGCGCGAGGTGGCCGATCGCACGCCGCCATCTTGCGACGGCACGGTGCGGGAATAACCGTATTCAATACATTGCCTACGGCTTCAGCCGTGGACAATGACTTTGAACGCGGCTCAGCCGTAGGCAATGGCTTTGAATGCGGCTTATTCATTCACCGCGTCGCCGCTAGATGGCGGCGTGGGAAATCGGCCGCTTTCCGCACAGAAAACACGCATACAAAGTGCCACTTTGCCTGCACGTGTAATACAAAATACATTTTTTTAGATAACCAAACTGTTTATTTATTTTTTCGTAAGCAAGAAAATGAGAAAAATGCATTTTTATTTTTAAACAAGTACACAATATAAGAAACTAAAATAATAAATTTATTTCCATAAACTGACAAAGAAATCAACATTTAAAAAAGAATTACTCGAACAAATTTTTTTTTTTAAACAACTGCACTAAAACAAAAATAAAGAAAAAGAAAGCATTACTTATGATAAAGTTTTAAGGAATAAGAAAACAAATTGACATAAAATTAAAATTATTTTTTATTACAAATTTTTTTTAGTTTTTTTGCTTTTCTTTTTCTATTTTTGTCACAAATAACATTATTCAATGCTCCTAATTTAATATAAGTTCTGGTCTTAACTAAACAAAGTAAAACCTCATGTGGAATACTTTACCTATCGAAAAAATCAGCTAAGAAACTATCTGAATAAATACTTTTTTAGAAGATTTTGACAATTCTCTATGATTACTATAGCTACGATCACTTGTACACAATACATATACACGCGACCAAGCATGTGTTAGTAAAACAAAATGGCTGATTTGGTGAGTTGCGCAAAGCGAACAAAAATTGACTCCCTAACTTGACTCACCTTTATTCTTCCACCATGGTATAGCGTATATATGTTTATCAGATATTTAATGTATATTAAATATTGCGTAGGTATTAAATTTGCATATTAAATTTACACATTAAATATTAATTAATAATTTTAAATGTTATTTGAATATATTATTTGTTAAAATCTTAAAAATGCAAAACAGTGAATAACATTTAAATTTTATTTAAATGCATGTTAAGATATAATTAATATAAGTTATTCGTCTCAAATAGATATATTTTTTGTGTTTTTGAATTTTGCTGAATTACATATTGAATCAAACATGTTTAATTTGATTAGCAGTATTTATTACGTAAATATTAAAATAAAATTTAATTGAGGAAGTTAAAGCAAATCTATTTTAATGGAGAAATATAAATGTGATAACTTTGAGATCCTGCAATTTTAACGCATAATGATATATAAATAATATATTATTATTTATTAATAATAATATTTATTATATATATTTTATTACTAGTTTTTCCCAACATTGACCCCGCTATTATTAATTTTCACACAATTTTTCATTTTACGAAACCTCTTTGTATACAATATTTGTCGTAAAAGATTTCGGATTTTCTTAAATGTTGCAAATTTTTCGGGGTGTGCGACGATGTGGTTTTTAAGTACTCTTTAGATTTTTTAAGTCTGTCTGTCTGACAGTGAACTACTTATACATTTGTGGACCGATTTTCGTGAAACAGGTATTAAAATGTTTTTTTTATATCTTTTATTGTTAATTTTTTTTAATTTTTTGATGTGAACTGATTTTTGTGAAACAGGTATCAAAATGTTTTTTTATCTTTTATTATTAGTTTTTTTTTTATTTTTTGCTTATGTTCCTACCGCTGAGCCGCTATTCATAGTTATCATAAATATGCGATTGCGTGGGTGGATGCGTAGGTGGAGGCGTAAAACTTACAAAAAATCACCATTGTCACACTCCCCGGAAAATTTACGAAATTTTGGTACCAATTTGATGAAGATCGGTCCACAAATGTGGAAGTAGTTCGCGATCAGACAGACAGACAGACAGACAGACGGACGGTACTTATATGTATATATAGATATATAGATATAATATATTATTATTTATTAATAATATAGAAATAAATAAGGAGCAGGAAATAGTTCACAAGAGCAACGCGAAGTAATTAGGTCGCAAATACAAAGCTTTTATTTAATATAAAAATTTTGTTTATTAATTAAAGTTATATTTGCGACCAAATTATACTTCGCGTTGCTCTTTTGGCCTATTTCCTGCTCTTTATTTATTTCTTAATTATAAAAGTAAATTATATATTACATTTATATTTATATTAATAATAATAATATTTATATTAATAATATTGTATATTATTATTTATTATTAATTATTACAGCCTTTAAATTTTTTCATTTTTACAGCCTTTTTAACACACTTTTGTTATCTGGCGAGTTGGTTTTGGATAAATATAATAAGCTTTGATATGTGGTGCACATTTAGGTAAGTTGGAAAATATTCTATATTGTTACTACTAATTTTTAACACTTGCTTTTCATTTGTCTTTATAAAATTCTCTCTTTTTGATTTTATATATATCGGTTTAAAGATAAAGATAGAGAGAATATATAATATGCAAAATTCTGTATTAATCGAATTTTTTTATATATTATCGTATTGGTACGTGCAAAAACAACTATATTTGACTTAGAACATTATAGTTAGAGTATAAAAAACATAGGTTCAAATTATAATTTGAAATAAATAGTTTTCTTGAAGATTTTGATTGATTACATAGATTTTTAAACGGTTAATTTTTTAAAAATAAAAATGGCGTATTAGATATAATAAGCATATTATATATTTTTATACATATTTAATTTAAATATGTATAAAATATTATAACAAAATTTAATAATTCGATATAATGCAATAATATTTTGATTTGATTTTTTTCTCTTTTAATGTATAAAGTATACTCGTATCTTTTAATTTATAATTTATATTTCTCAAAAGTAAATAAAAATTTTAAATACCATTGTCGTGTCTGCATAATAGTTATATAAATATACACTTCTTAAAATAATTAAGGCATAAAAAAAACAATTGTCCAAAAATAGGCAAACTTTAAATAATTATAACTTTGTTTAGAATAATGAGAATTTAAATTTTAAAAAGAGTTTCAAAGCTTGAAATGCCTACTTTCAATAAATTACAGTTTTTTTATTTTCTTCAATTTTGATATTTTTTATATGTATACAAAAAACATAACAAAATGGAAAATTTTTTTTCACTTTGTAGACGTGTTGCATGCACAAAAAAATGTGAAAAATTTCTTAACATTTCCATGTTACAGCCTGAAGTTTTCTCTGCAAAATTGTTTTTTAAAATGTAAATGTCAATCTTTCTTTATCAAGTTATCGCAAATTGAAGAGAAATTGTCATTTTCACTTTAATCGTTCATAACACCGTTAAAAATCATCGTACAGCAATTTTAAGAGTGGATTCTTCAAGCTAAATCTTTGCTTTATAGTATGATATAGTGACTTGATCAAAGACACATTATTTTAACATTTTTATATTTTGATTTCTTTTATCTATTGTTTGTGAAATATGCTGTGTAAATTGCAGAGGATTCTGTTCATTACAAAGAAACGTCAGACAACGAGAAAAAAGAAAGTTGATATATTATACGATCATTGCGTGGGGATGTCCCTTTATGTTTGCTATTTTATGTGTCATCATGGAATTTCTTTCCGCGTATGTAAATGTACCACCGATTTTGCGACCGGAATTTAATTTAGGAGATTATTGCTGGTTCAATGGTAAGTGAAGATAACTTTATTAATGCTATAGCATTCTAGTATTGTGAGAAACGGTATAAAACTCGTGATATTTTATACTTACAGAGACTGGTCCGTATTGGTTGTATTATTATGGGCTCAGAAGTATGTGCAGCATCAGTACCATTTGTTTATCTATTTCTACGGCATTAAAAATTGAGCGTTCCAAAAAGGATACGGGTCTTTGTCTGAAAGATTCGGTGAACAATTGCTTTAACGATAATAAAAAATGGTATTCAGATATTAATAAAATTTATGCTACTTTTATTAACATTTATGCAAGTAGCATCGCATAATTGATTGCTTCGCATTTTTTTTTATAAAAGAGAGGAATAGACCGGTATTATTATTAATTAATAGTCCGATCGTATATTAAATTTTAAGTCCGAGCTTGATTGGTTGAACGAAATTTTAAGTCAATATCAGATTGAAAACGATATTAAATATAAATTCAGATTATGAATACTGGCCATGGATTGTCATTTGCAAATGACATCTTTTCTATTCGCCGATTCACTTTTTTTATTTTGTAATATTTTCAAGAATATATCTTTTTACGTGTTTCTTCGAGAATCTATACAATTCTAAACAAAATGACAATTAGTCACAAAAATCAAATTAATGACTGCACCTGTATTTCACAAAAATAAAAATTTTAAACACTTTTAAAAATTTCTTAAAATTTATACATCAATTAAATTTTATTCGTCATATATAAATTCACAAGAACTATGAAAATTATATATTTGTTTACAGGTTTAATCTATATTTGAAGCTATTTATCGTGCTGTTTAGCTTAATGGGCATAGAATGGCTCATTATAACAGCGTACGACATATTTGGAAAGGTACCAATTTACAACATTTTATGGTATGTTGTTTATTTGCTGTACATTATACAGAGTCTATTCGTCTTTATCATATTTGTGTGGAGAAAAAGGATCAAGCGCATGTTATTCAAGCGATTTGGCTGCGGTTTGTTGCCAAAAGTTCGATCCGAATGGAATGCAACATCGTTAAGCATTATTACCACGACAAAAGAAATAGTCATGCAGGAGAATATGAGTTCTTCCGGAGGAGGAAGAGGTCACACTGATAGCACCGAACTTTAATTTTCATTTGAAAATTAAAATCATGTTTATTTATGCTAATCTTTATGTTTAAGATTAATAGTTATAATTCACACATATTTCGTAGCAAAAACATATTATTTTGTATCGTTTCTTTTTCAAATTCAAATGAGGTTATGTTACATTCCTTGACATATATTGAAATATTTATAATATTGTTAATTGTAGCGGCTGATATTATTTTTAATTTTCAATATTAGTAGAATTTCAGAAAGCTGCTACAAAATTTGCATAAAATTACTATAAGTTGTTATTATACATATATCAAATAAAAATATGTTCATTTATTAATGCTTAGAATTGTAATAAAAATTCATAATATTATAATTTTTATAAACTTAATTAAATATTTTATCATAACATTAGTGTAACATTAATACTTAAATAATTAACGATATAAAACTGCAAGGTCACTAGACGATAATCAAAAAATGGTAAAGATTTAATCGACCAACTCTAGTTTTTAAATAACAAAAATTCGATCTTAGACATATTCTAAGATCGAATTTTTGTTTTTTAAAAAAGTTGTGATTTACTTTGTTTTAAGAACATAGCACTTGATAAGGGCCGAAATCCACGGCCGAAATGTTGTGAAATTTAATAAAATTTCTTTTTTGCCAGAGTTGGTCGATTAACTCTTTACTATTTTTTAAATAATTAAAATCTTAATTTCTTCATGATCACATTAATTCGGTTTAGGTTACTATTTTCTCTAATATGACTTACATTTTAGTAATTATTAGTTTCAATTATTAATTTTGAAGAAATCAATGAAATTTTTTGTGAAAGATTTTCTTTCCTCGTCAAAAGTTGGAAATAAAAAATTAAAAAGCATCAGCCATCGGATCTATTGCTGTTTCTAATTCCTAATCTGTTATACATATATGCGAGTAAATAGGAAGCGCGAATGTGAGAGCGCAGGCGTGAGTAGCGAATAGGGTCGAGCGAGCAAATTGGGGGGAGTCCGTCTCTCTCGCTCTGATTGTGAGTCAGAAGTCACGAAAGGAGACTTTTCGGGAAACTTTGTAAGAGATAACATGTAGTCAAGTAAAATTATATTTTAATATTATATAATGAGGAGCAAAGAAATTGTTTCCACCTGCACTCTACCATGTTACTCTTCCAAAGATGAATACGAATACACGACATAATTAAATAAATAAATAATCATGATATAACTCTCAAAGTTATGCACGTGGAATCTAAACCGGTTTTGGAATAGGTACTTTGTTTTCACTTTATATGTGCTGGCATTATACCTAATATGATGATGTATAAGAGTTGGCGAATAAACTGATATATTCAATATAATTTACTCTTCTAACATTTTTTTTGTATTCTAAAGACAACAAATGTGATTAATAAATTTGTAAAATAAATAAAATTTTTTAACACATGCGTTATCGATTAATTATTCAAAAGAAATTTTTATATACAATTATTTAAATAAATAAAATAATTATTCAATCATCAATTTAATTTATCACCATCAATTTACTTCTTATTTGCGGATTCTTAGAAATATGAAGACTCTTCATTTAATGCTTAAACAGTAAGAGTTTCTAAATGAGAAGTTTAAAAAACAGACAAGAGTATTTTAATTCACTGCTGGGTTGGTCGAGGTATCGTCAATAGAAGTTTCAATGATTTGTTTTTGTTTTCTTTATATATAGTATGTAAAAGCTATATGTGTATAGTTCCATATAGTAAAGTAGATGGTTAGTTTCTCGCAAAGCCATCGACGACTCTTCGTCCTCGATAGTCTCGTCTCCTCTTCCTTAGAGGCACATGTATCTTGTGCAATCTTCTATCAGAAATAAATTTAAATCCGGGATACAGTGATGTAATACGGACTTTATTCAATGAGATAATTAAAATTTAATACGTGCATTTATTAATTTTAATAGGAATAGTACTAAAATAAAATTGACCTTTCGAGATTTTGCTGAGAATCAAAATAAGATAATTAAATTTTATTATATTTTGTATTTGACACATTTTATTGCAATTAATACAAAAGCAATGGTATATGTATAAATATAATATGACATTTGTTAATTATTGAAAATTTAAAACATATATGAAAAATTATGAATACTAAATTTGATTATCTAATCATTTTAAAATATATTATTCTTACGTGAAATAATGAGTGAAAACATGTTTGCACTAGTGGTTCTCTCCACTTTTAATATCAGTTACTTTAAAATAATACACAAGTATAATACCATCTTTGTACGTACTGGTGTTTTGAATTCGTGTTGAAAATATTAAGAAATGTGCGGATATGGAAGACAAGAGAAATGAGCGGATATAGAAGACAAGAGATTTCTGTAAGTTTTTTGTACGTTATATATACATCTCCATCATTGTTAATAATAATTCGATAATATCTGTACCGTGATCTCTGATGCAGCTGCATAGAATATAATTCACGATCCATTTCTGAGGATGTGAAACATATCTCTAACATCTTGTGCTTGTTATCATGCGGTTTTTCTAATGTTTGAATTATTAAGCGTATCTGGATATCATATTATAACGTAACAGTTAATACTTTCTCTGCGTTTTATTTGTATTGGGCGCTGATGAAGGCTCAAAGAAAGAGCCAAAACGTACGTCGTATCTCATTTTTGTAATTTGTATTTTAACACTGTAATAAATTGGATTGATTTTTAAAAAAAATATATATCGCGCTTTATTATCTGCGCTGAAGCTCTTATAGCCAATCATATTTTAACGGTCTTTTGTTAAAATTTACTTAATTATATAGTTATTTATAGTTATTTATAGTTATTTATAGTTATTTTATAGTTATTTTATAGTTATTATATAATGGAAATTTACAATTAAAAAAGATACCCTAAATTAGTCTACAATAAATACAAAATCAATCCATAATTGATCAAAAGTTGGATATATTTCGTACATCCTGTGGACGTACCAAGTTGTGACAAATGTATATCTTGTCCGATAGACCTTATTTGGATTTACAGGAAGTTAAAAGAGAAATAAGGAGAATTCTTGAGATCCCAATCATAGGATACAGATTCTCAGATTACTTAATTTTCGCAATAACATCGCGTTTGGCTCTGTGACCAAGAAGAAGAAGGTGTATATCTTATTTGGATTGTTTAAGGATATCCTAATGTCCAATAACGAATATTCACTGGACATAAATTAGACATCTTTGTGCTATCAGGGTATAAACATTAATCTCCACGAAACTGTCTTCTTCACTTCTAGGTGATAATTAATAACGCTTTTGATGATCATAAGGTCTGTGTTCAAGAGGCTATATAATATATGTATCTCCAGAAGCCGGAGATATTGAAAAAAATACGTTAAACTTTTAATGGTACTTATTGTTGGAGATTACGACTTAAGACTCTGAATGGAAAAAAATGAGAAAACAGGCTTTAACAAAAATAATCAATGAAGAAGACAGCTTCGCGGAGATTAATATACTTATACCCAGATAGTACAAGAATAACTAATGTATGTCTAGTGAACTCTTTCTCAAAAATTTGTAATATATTTTTCAAAAAATGACAATGCGCCAGGATCAGCATTCAAGCAATTATAATAATTTTACATTTATTGAACATTGCGCGATGTGTATTAATGATGATCAGATACAAACATAGGCACGTAAATATACAGTGTATATCCGATTAAGTTCTCGATTAAATTTTTTCAATAAACACAAACAGTTCTCACTCTCCTTTTCTCTTAGAAAGAAGAGCTGTTTCTGGCGTTGACAATGTGAAAGTAGAATTTTGTTAGAAGTTACGTCAGAAAGGCGGGATGAAAGTGTAAGAGCTAAGAGTTATTTGAGAAATAAATAATATTTTTGCTATAAGTATGAGAAAGAAAAAGCGAGAACTGTTTGTGTTTATTGAAAGAGTTTAGTCGACTGAGAATTCACAAAAAATTTATTTGAGTATATTGTTATAGTCCGAATGACTATAACTATATTATATTAAATATAGTTTTGATAATAAATTAGTAAGTCGGCTATTATACAATTATTTGAGAAACGTTCTCACGCTCTCGCGAAGCGCTTATCGCGAAAAGACGCAAACGCGATGAAATATAAGCGTTACACCGAAAACCGCGGATCGCAAGCGAAGAATCAACCTGCTTCGCTTGCACCTAGATAAAAGCGTGTGAATAAAAATTAGCCAATAAAAGAGCTTCTCTACACCTTCCCCCGAAAGATGTAGAAAAGGGCAGAAGACCACCGCGAACGGAGAGCGAGGCGATGAAGTGAGTCGCTAACGAAAATCCAAAAGGTCAAGTCGCTAATTAGAACCTAACTAGGAGTCGAAGACAAGCCGCAGAATATAAACTATCACCTGTAATCTGACTATCGAGAGCGAGCATACTTAACTAACCACCCAGGTGGGATTACACAGAATTAAACCAACTCAAGAAATAAGGGAAATAAAAGATTTATTCAGATAAACAAGCAAAGTTAGTCAAAGTGAAGACGCCCGCCGATCCTAGGATCCTCATCCTTCAGTCGACTGAGACCCCAAAATTTTCCGTGCCTTCCCGGAGGCACAACAATTTGGTGGCAGCGGTGGGATCTCAACCGCAGGGCCGACGTCGTCTCCAAAATGTTCACAGCGGCGAAGACCTGTAAAAACACATACAATTATAACAAGTGTTAGACGGGCACGTCAGTAACTGACGGAAACAAGCAGAAGCCACGACTAGGAGAGAACGAGAGATCGGACAACATAAACAGTGCAACGAGTGATAAGCAGCAGAGAATCAAAAAGGATCGCTGACGTCCAACGTCGCCTACGACAACCTCACGGGCAGCGCATCATCACGAGCGACGACCCGCCGTATCTATCACCAACACGGAGCCGCCGTTATCAGCCCACGAGCGATCGAGTTGCAGCAACAGCAGCCGACCCGTATAGAGCGTAACGATGCGAGCCGTAATACTGTAAGTCCGAATTTATTTGATTGCGTGAATGTCGGAAGGTGACGAAACACCCCGACAAGCAATTAAAAACCAATCGTGGTTGCATAGTACACCTGTACGGTTAACGACGCGAGTATTGCCTTTAACTGCGCAAAATCTCGAAAGCGTTCGTAGAAATTTAGACAGCGACTTGTCAAACGAAAATAATTCCGAGTTACCTCCGAACGTAATAAACAAAC